TGCAGTGCAGTAATTAATTTGTGTAAATTAATTGTAAAATGGATTGCCCAAAAAAGGATTGATTATGTTTCTAGTATAGTCAGGTGTAAACAAATTGGAAATACAGGTCCAAATATTACACAAAAAATGATTTTGATGGGTAAACTAGGAAGGAACTTTTTAAGAATCTAAAGAGTAAAAAAGAGAGTTTTGATATTTTTGATTCTAAAATGATCAATTTTAGGTCAAATTTGATGTACTATAGCTTGTTTTAAAGCTAGAGATGAGCTCTACAAATTCAACTAGCTCTCAAACCTGGGCGATGCCCCAGGGGCACATTCTCAATTTTTTTAGTTTTTATTTATTTTTAATTTATATTATTTAATTTATTAGTATATAAATTTTGAATTGATTTTATGTTTTTACATTATAGCTTTTATAGTCTAAGTATTTAATAGTCTTATTAATAGTTTTAAATTGTTTATATATTTTTATGTTATAGTTTTTATAACTTAAGTATTTATTAATAGTTTTAAATTGTTTATATATTTTTACATTATAGTTTTTATAGTTTAAGTATTTATTAATATTTAATATATATGTTATAAACTTATATATATTGTATTTATTTTATTAATAAATTATAATATTATAAAGAATAAATAACAATATAATAAATATTATTAAAATTTAAATCTAAATTTACTGTAAATCTACTCTAAATTTATTGTAAACCTATTATAAACCTACTTTGAATCTACTCTAAACCTACCTAAAACCTTTTTAAATCTAACTCTAATTCTAATCCTAAACCTTAACCTTAACCCTAGTCTTAATCTTAATTTAGTTATATAGTTTAATTATTAATATAATTTATAATTTTTTAATAATGTTTTTTTACAATTAATTACTAAAATACTTTTATTTTATATACAATTAATTTAATAAAATTACTTTTAAACTATATACAAATTATATACAAACTATATACAATATAATATAAATTAAATTAAATAATAAATATATATAATATAATACAAAAATTAATTACATAATAAATACTTTTAAACTATATACAAATTATATACAATATAATACAAATTAAATTAAATAATAAGTACTTTTAAACTATATACAAATTATATATAATATAATACAAATATACAAATAATAAATACTTTTAAATTATATACAAAATTTGATAAAAATTATGTACCGTAAAACTGCGAAATAACGCCCATCTGCACGTTATTTTGAGTATATGTGTGTTAATTAGAGTACGTGCATGGGCGTTATTTTGAAACAAATATAAATTGTTAAGTATCTACTTATATAAATATAAACAAACAAAAATGCCCCAGAAGTAGGTTTAGTATTAAGTAAATCTACTTTTGTTTATGATAATAGTGTTCTTCAGGCTAAGACGATTCTAATGGTGGTTAAATCATCAAAACGGCTCAGTTGATCCCCTGCAATGGCGCTTCAAATTTTTATAACTATTGTTTATTTACAGTAATATACATATAGTTATAAAATTTGAAAAGCCATTGTGGGTGATTTACTGGGCCGTTTTTGATTATTTACCATCATTAGAATTGGTTCAACCTGAAGAACTACTTTTGTTAGAAGCTAAAAGTAGATTTACTTAGTTTTAAACTCACATACGGAGCACTTTTTTATATTTATTGTAATATGCGCATTATTTAGGAACGCTCATAGCCGTTATTTTGAGGCTATATGTGTAATTTTGGGAACCCAATTTTCTAAATAATGCCCATGCCCATTATTTCACGGTTTTACGGTATAGTAATATATATAAATTATTCAGATTCAGCAAAGATTTCTCTATATACAATGTTTTTAGTATATATACCTTCTTTTTCTTTTTTATGCCTATCTTCAACCAAGACTTTAATATTATTTTTTGATTGAACTCTTGACAAAGCAACATATAATTGTCCATGTGTAAAGACTGATTTGGGCAAATATAATCCCATAATAGGAATTGTTTGGCCTTGTACTTTGTTTATAGTCATTGCAAAAGATAATTTTATAGGAAATTGTCTTCTAACTAATTGAAATAGAAGGTCAAGATCAGATGGTGTTAATCTTATTCGAGGTAAAAATATTTTCTTTCCTTGATTGACTCCTGTTAAAATTTCAGCTTCAAAAATATAATCATAGCAATTTTTAATTATTAATCTTGTACCATTGTATAATCCTTCAGCTGGATTAATATTTCGTAAAAGAATGACTGGTACATCTATTTTTAAATTTAATTCATGAGGTGGCATTCCACTTGGTGTTAATGAATTTAAAAATTCTAAAGTATAAAGACTTGAATCTACTTCTTCTTTTTCCTCAATAGAATCAGCAGATTTATATTCAAATACTTGTTTATCTGGAATACTTTTAAGTATTTGATCATTAATTTTCTCAACATCAATATTTTTAGTTGTCAAAATTGCTCTATCTTCAATATAGTCAGAATTTTGATAGTTTGTATTAATATCATTAAAGATCTCTGATATTAATTTTTCAAGATTTTTATCATCTTTACTACTTAAGACTATATCATCTGGCAATTGTATAAAATCATCACCAATATCAGAATATACAAGAACTTTTCCTTCACCAACTTGTAATAAGAAGTCAACAAAGTTTTTTTGTTCAACATTTTCTTGTTGTTGAACTCTCATATTTTTAGTTAATTTCATACTTGTAAAAAATTTCCAAAGATCAGAAGACTTTAAGCATGCATTAACTATTTGGGCCCTTGTACCTCGAACTACTACAGATAAAATTTGTCTAAAGTCACCACCAAGAACCATAACTTTGCCTCCAAATGGTTCATTAACATCCATTAAATCTCTAAAACTTCTGTCAACTGCCTCAAATGCAAATCTATCCATCATTGGTGCTTCATCCCATAAAATTACTTTAGCCTTTCTGATTAAATCTGCTAAATCAGATTGTTTTTTAATATTTAAAGTAGTGGTCTTTATTAATTTTAATGGAATTTTAAATCTGAAATGAGCAGTTTTTCCACCACTCATTAATAATGCAGCAATTCCTGATGATGTTACAGCAATTGCAATTCTATTTAGACCACTTGTTGATCTT